TAGGCCAGACAGGGCCCTTAGAGTCGGAGAGGGGAGGGGATTTTAGGCCAAAGGTCTTTTTACTCTTTAAGAAATACATTAACCAAGGCTATTAAATAACAAGTTTGTATATTCTTTTTCCTTGTCTAGGGACAGAGGTGGCATTTCAGCGGGATACATCTTCTGGGAGGACAACTGAAAACCCCATTTCTGACTGAGATAGAGAGAGAAAGAGCTCCATGAAATCCCAATAGGCAGGGACTACAACCTTCCTCAGCAGGACGCAGATACAGAAGAAGAGACCTCCTGTCCCTCAACATCCATACTAATAGTTAGGGGGTTCACAGCTCTTAGAAAAGAGTTAGGCAGGAAAATTAGGGGGTTTCCGGGTCTGCCTGCAAAGACACTGAGGTCATCCTATCCTAGAAGGGGTCCAACCCTAATCCGCCAACAATTAAATGAGTCATGGGGGTCCTGGTCCAGAATATGGAGTTGGGAATCCTGGCTTCTCTCACTTGCAGGTCCTCTCCTCATGCTCTTCATAGCTCTTTTATTTGGTCCCTGTATCCTGAACTGTCTGGTCAAATTTGTCTCCTCACGTCTAGAACCCATAAAGTTACAAATGGTGACACCTGGATCACCCTTACACCTTACACCAGCCCCGAGGCCAAGAAAATCAAGAGGATGATGCTCTATAAGAATTTAAAAGGTCATCAAAAGGGGGGATTGAAGAGGAATTTTCCACACAAATGGCTAACCTTGTAATCAGCTCTTTGTTCTGCTTCTGTAGACATGCTGCTTTCTGCATAGGCGGAAGAGCAGCGTGATCTCAAGATCAACTGAAGGCTTACCTTCCCCTTTGATTATTCTGTCTAGATAACAGATGTATTGCCTAAGTTCCTGTCTGAAAATCTCATGCTCTGGAACTGCCCATAGCCCATAGCAACTCTGGCGCAGATAAGCCCTATAAAAGCAAAACTGCCCCTGAGCTCAGGACCCAGATCTTCAGAGCACTAGCTCGTCTGGGATCCCCGGTATAATAAACCCGAGTTCTCCAATTCTCCAAGTGGTGCTTGGTTTCTCGCCGATCTGATTTCACAACATTTCTGCAACATTTCGATTCCTAACAATTGAAGAACAGAGCCTATAGTTTTATTTTAATACTCAAATTAATTTAATAGATAATGAATACCAGGCAGTATTTCACATACTATGGAAAGATACTGTTTTCACTAAGGTGTAGACAAAATAGGGGCTAGAATTTGGGATCATCTAATGGGGACTAATACTTTCCCAGTGAATTCTCCATTGAAACACAAGCTCAGTGAGGGCAGGAATGGTCTTATTCATGGATTTATGTCCACAGCCTAAAAACAGTGCCTTGAACAGGTATTTCAGGGTGCCGACTAAAAAAAAAATGACTCATTCAGTGAATTAATACATGTCAAGTGCTACACAGGTGTATTTTATTGCTACTATTTTCAAATATATGCCAAAAAGGAATAATTGCTTGCATTTGAAATGTTTTCCAGTACATTTAGTTGATAATCACAAGGCTTTGGTAATAGTAGATAGAGAAGTCATTGTTTTTCTCATTTTATACACAAAGAAATAAAGGTTTCTTGGCTGAAAGCACTTGACTAAAGGGACAATATCTATTGGTAGAGCCAAAGGAAGAATCTGGTTTCCTTATTCCATGTGGCTCCAACTTTCATACATGCTAAAACAAGTAAAGTGAGAAATTTTGTTTAAGCTGGTATTTTTTGCAAGTGAGGATTGAAGAACAGCAAAGAATTGAACAAAGAAAAAATCGGCAAGATTAAATTCCATCTTAACAATGGGTCTTTATTAACTTGTCTGAAGGTCTGAAAAATTCTTTCATACTGAGAAAAAGGAACCCTCATACACTGCTGGTGGGACTGCAAATTGGTACGGCCATTATGAAAAACAGTATGGAGGTTCCTCAAAAAACTAAGAATTGATCTACCATATGATCCAGCAATCCCTCTACTGGGTAATAACCCCAAAGACTTGAAAACCCATATCCGAAAAGATATTTGCACACCGATGTTCATAGCAGGATTATTCACAGTGGCCAGGACATGGAAGCAACCAAAGTGTCCTACGATAGATGATTGACTAAAGAAGCTGTGGTACGTATATACAATAGAATATTAATCAGCCATAAGAAGAGATGAAATACTGCCATTTGTGACAACATGCATGGACCTCAAGATAATCATGCTAAGCGAAATAAGCCAGACAGAAAAAGTTGAAAATCACATGATATCACTTATATATGGGATATAAACCTAAAAGCAACAAATCAACAGGACAAAGACTCATGGACATGGACAATAGACTAGTGGTTACCAGAGGGTAGAGGAGAGGGGGAAGGGAAGAGGTAGACAGGGTAAAAGGGGCAAATATGTGGTGACAGAAAGAAATCTAACTATGGAAGGTGAACACACAACATAAATATATATATATATATACACACACACACACACACACACATACACACACACCTTAATGATAAAATGTACAGCTAAAACTTATCGGATTTCATTAACCAATGTCACCATAAAAAAAAAATTAAAAAAATTCTCTCATACTGAGTCTATTATAATTAATTCTTGATAAGTCTCATAGAGCATCAGTGGAAAAAAAAGGGACAATATACTATAAAATTCCATTTATATGAAGGTCAAAAACAAGCAAGACTAATCCATGATGAGAGAGGTTAAAATGCAGGGGGTGTCACCTTTCTGAAGGTTACTGACTAGGAGAGAACACAAAGGAGCTTGCTGGAGAGCTGGATATGTTCCATATTTTAATCTGCGTGATGGTTACACAGGTATATACATATGTATAAATTCTTCAAATGGTATACTTAGGTTTGTGTACTTTATTCTAAGTTATACCCCAGTAAAAAAATTTTTTTCAGATTGTTTTGAGCATTCATTATCTCATTTGCCAGAAGATTATGGGAAAATATACATATATTTGTTATTTTTACCTCCTAAGATGTGATAAACTGTTTTCTCT